TCAATGCAAATTTCTGGTTACCACAAAAAATATATTTTACGTAAAACGAATACCGCGATATTAATCTGTCGCTTTGTTTGATTTTGCATAAATAAACTCGTTATGCATTTTTCTTCATTTACGTGTTTCGTCGTTTTTCAGAGTGGCTCTATGTCCGTACATTTCTGCTGTTCAAAATTGTCTTCAGGAATTTTAAAAATAATGTGACTTTTTTAGTGCTGCTTATTTTTGTGTTTGAAAAGTTGTTTGCAATAAAAACATGATAAAGTGAAAAGATAAATTATGGTTTGTAATCAGTCCAGGAAAGCGCGCGCTTATTGCTCCGTAATTCCCTGCGTGGTTGAATGTGCTTGCATTTGCTGTCTCTCTTTAAGGTGTTTCGTAGTCTTTCTTGTCTATAGCTACTTGGGATGTCTCTAAGAGAAAAATTAGAACGTCTTGCCAATCCAATTTCCTCAGTTTATGCCTCTGATGTTGTCCGTCGTAAATCTCTTATTTACGATAATCCACAATCTGTTGATGCGCTAACATGTTTCAGAGACTGTACGTCAATACGACTATATTTTATCTGAGTCTAGGTTCTAAAGCATTCAAGAACCTCTGTGAGTTGGATCAAGAGTTGAAACGATTTGAAAAGACCTTGTTTGCAACCGGCACGGTCAAACTCGAAATGTGTAATCTTTTACCTATCCACAAAGCCAAAATCGATAAAGAAATTACTTCCTTTCTTTTCATGGTTAACATTCACGTTCGATCCGCTGAGGTTGCTTGGGTGCTTGAGTGGCTCGTTTACAAGTACGTTCCGTTTTGAATGTTATGTATATGTACAAACAGGTTCCAGGTCCACTTAAACTATGTGGATGAATTCATGATGCTTCTGCTTCCGCATTATGGAACTGGACTTTTCGCAAAAGGCATACAACTTCTTGATTTCCGGTGTACACTTTCGCATTGGCTGTGGCTGAAGCCATTTGCCGATAAGGGTGTACCACTGAGTCGTCAGGATTTCCTTAAAGCGTGCTGTAGCCAGCCATCCCTTGTTCCTTTCATTGGGACATGCATATCTACATACGCTATGGTAAGTCGTGAAATTTATTTTATATATTCTGTGTTGCAGTACAAAACGATTACGTCTACTAATCGGATGCAACCGGTCGGATGCTTTTTCGTTTCAACTATTGCTGGTCTCTGCGAATTAGGATTAACAAATTCAAAACTGGTTAAAATAGTTAGAGCTTTGCAAGGAACACTTCGAAAGGGGTTGCGTAGCGTTGATTCACCCTCATTTCAGTCTGCTGCTAGCTTGGCGACTGTTCGATTCTCTCTCACACTGAAGCTTAATAGTGATCTAGTCCTGGATTGGATAAACTGTCTTCTTGAGGTGAGTTTATTCGTCTGCTATTCTACCGTTTATATTTGTGCTTAATACTTGCGTTTTTTTTCAGAATTGTCGCAGAGGTGCCGAATGGGAAAACATCCAGGTTGTTAATGTTCTGATGCGAAAACAGGACATCCTTATTTTGCCTGATTCGTAAGTCATCTGTTACGTGCTTAGCTTTCACGATAAGAAGTTTCTATAGTTTGCTTAAAATTGTAGGCTTGCAGTATTGTACGAAAAACTACTCAACTCGCTGTCTTCGTTCGACCGAGCTCTTCTCGAAAAGGAAGAGAACAAAGTCTTAGATCGAGTTGATTCAAATTCAGCCCTGTCTAACATCCATGAGCAATCTGAGCGTGTTGCGCAAGTTACCTTGGTAAGATTTTTTGGTTGCCCAACACCAACCGATAACAAAGCCTATTGTTAACGCACCAGGGAATATTTGTAGGTTTTAGAGTCGAATTCTCCAGATGAGGACATTTCTCTAAATGTTTCAGCAACCGCAGGTTCGGAACAGAAACAGCGTCGCAAGTTGACTGTTAAACGTATATTGAAAATGACCTTTGAGGACTTGTTCAGCGGTACGATGGGGCTGCGGAGGTCCTTCGAGAGAACCCATGCAGCATTAGGAACAAACGGTTTTTGTGTAATGCAGAAATTCAAAAAAGACTGCTGTTGCCCTTCACCTGTTGGAGGGACCGATAATTCATGGCTTTCTGACTTCCTCGTTGAGATAGTGCTCCGTTTTACTAGAACGGAGTCGGTCGAATACGAGGTGAATGAGGGAGATGCAATTGAGACCCTAAAATTACACCAAGCCAAAGCTGCCCTTCAAATGGTATCATACTCGCTTGATAATATTCCCTTAACGGGATCACATACTGGCAAATCTACCCAGATGCGGGTTAGATCATCTCATAGCCTGAAGGTTTCCCAGTTATTAAGTGCGTTAGACGAAGGTAAGTTTGCCTTATTTCAGTGAAATGAGAAAAATTCTATCACCAAATGTGCCGTTTCTTTTCATAATGTCGAATATCCATGCAGTCAATTAGAAGCCTTCCAGTAGCAGCGATTTTTATACAAGCCACACTTTAGTCTTATTTGTAAATGTTATCCTTTTCCAGTCATAGATAGAGATTTTATATAATTTTTGGTAGTGTGTGTCCTGAATACTTGTGCTCATTGCCTAATTAAAGCCTCAATATTGAAGCATGAAAGATGGTTTTTAAGCTTATTAACGCTGGAGCTTTATGTGGCCGCCGTATTTTTCATACAGCCAAACTATTAAGTTGCCTCCGAGTCATAAACGATTGTTCTAACACTGAAACAATTTACATCGAATTCGTAACCTGATGACGTTCCACAAAACCTGGGGAAGCGTTGCCAAAAATAAAAAAATTAAATAGTGAACAGTTGAGGAAATTAGGCGCTACTTAAAACGTGAATTCCAACCATCACAGAGTAGGTTAAATATACCCTTTTGTTCATATTTAAATATGGTTAAATGATAGTATGTCTGTATGCAGTTTGTCTGATATTTGTTTAACAGTTTTAAGAAATCCAACCAGTTATAATGTTTTGCGTAGCCACGGTTTTGGATTTTTAAGGTTTCCATTGGAAATCTAGTTGATTTACTCTTAACCTGTACAATATCTGTTTTTGTATAAGCAAATGTAACCTATTTGCACAGAAAATGTTGTAAAAAACGAACTAGCTCTCCGGCACTTTTCTCGTCAGTCTTTTTGCTTTCCATGTCATTGAATCGGATGAGATTTGTTAAAATTGATTATCTGTTTTTCAGCCTTCCCTTGCCTTTTGACTGCTTTAATTCATCCACTTGGTGATATCCGTGTTGAAGCTTGCGGCCTAATCCAACGCTACATTGAGATATTTGGCTCAGTTTCCCCTCTCTCCGATTATTGCTGCGTTAATGGTTTTTTGTCTGACCTTGAATCGTCTGGTTGCGCATTCCCCGATTCATTCAAGCAACTACTTCAGGGTGACACACTTTCTGCCCTCGTGCAAACGTCTACGCATTTTGTGCAAGCAATCTTCCGATCGCTTTGCAGGTTAGTTAAATAAACATCAAGTGCGTGTTGTATCCTCAGAAAACTTTCATTTCTGAATCTTGTATTGTTTCAGCCAACCTCTAAAAGAAAACAACTTGTCCCAAGCGTGTTGGTTTGCAGTTACTCGACTCTTCCACACTGATCTAATACCATCGCTTATAAACCTTTGCCCTCGAACTCAAACAGATATGGGCGGCACTCCCTTGATTGCGGGCTGGCGTGCACTGCTCCAAATAATTCGATGCCCGCAGCTTATCAACAATCAAGCCGCGCGAAAAGTTTTTTTGGACAAGTTAGACTCCTCAACTCTTCAGATCCTTGCTCTGCTTCCGGCTCCAGTTTCTAAAGGGAGCGAATCGCTCGGTGTTTCCTTTTTTGAAGGCGAACTTCTTGACTCTATTCTTGACTTTGCTGGTTTACCTGCAACCCCTACATCGACTTCCGGAATCAGTCTTACTGATTTGCTCTCCAGAGTATGTTGCTGTCATGGAAACCTTTTTAATACTATAATGATACCTATAAGCGCTTGTTCTTTTGGTAGTTATTACTCACAGCGGAACATTACGCTTACTGCTTGGCCAAATTAGATCCAATTCGTCTCCGTGACTCTTCGCAGTCCCTCCTCAAGAGGGTAACAAGTGCTGGGTAAGATAAGCCGCCGTTTCAGGCAATATTTTATCAAAGTCAGAACTAGTGTAGTTCCGAGCAAACATAGTAAGCTAATTTAACAGTTGCGAATGTTGACCATTATTAAAAAAGTGCAATTCATTGGGATTCCGAAGTCTTTTTATTCTGTTCCCTACGCTACAAGAAAATGGATCTGTTGTTTTGATTTATACTTCAATTATTCTCCATATTTGTATTTGATTATTTGCCTCGCGTGGGTTATGGCTCAAGATGGTGCACTTGTTACCCTGCTATTTTAGACAGACCAAGGTCGCTTTTTATGCCATACTATATAGTTTATTTTTCAATCAATTAATGTAGACGGAACGTTCGAAGATCGGAGCGATTAGGTGCAGAAATCGCGTCATCCTGCGAGCGATCTCGACTGCGTGCACTTAGTGTAGTCCTCACAGCTCTTGCTGCTGACTCGCGTCGCCTGCAAACAATTTCCGCAAAGACAAGTATTCCCCAATGGTCGGGGAGTGAGCCGGGAACACCCCTTTTATCGGCTGTTTCTCGATTAAAGAGTGGTGCCAGACAGAGACGTTCATCCATCAATCAAGGAAAAAAAGGAGCTTCAGAAAGCACTCTCAAAAGGCCAGACAAAGATACAGAAGTGGAATGCAAAGACATCGTTTTCCCGCTTAATAGTCACTTGCTAGCGTGAGTCTCCTCCGTTTTATTCAAACATGGTTGAAGGGTTGTTTAACAAAGCTGCTTTAGTCGGCATTTATTGCTCTTGTCATTTTGATTTTAGTGTCGTGGGTTATTAACAATTTACTTTACTGTAAAAGTGTAAACGTTAAGTCTGGCTTCGTTTGCGAAAACTAGTCACCTTAATTCATTTTTACGTGGTTACTGTGTTTAATGCTCTCAGCTGGAGCTATTATAGAATAGCCGAGATCAAGCGCAAACCAACCAAACAATATTAAAAGGTAAAGTGTTGCCCTTGTGAAGCTCAATAAGGTGCTTTATTTGACTGGTTTTTGACTACTCGAATCACTACCTTTTTTTAAACTATCGGCTAGTTAACAGCCCACTTTCTTTCTCTAGTTGTATATCGGCTGAAACTCGATTCCAACATGACGCAATGGTGCAGAGTCGTCTTGGTGGCCGGAAACGAACCATTTCTACAAATTCGTCCATTTTTTTATCGGACGACAGTAGTGAGGATGAAGACGAGGGTGTTCAGGACGTTGATATGAAGCCACTTTGTCTTAGCGATGCTGAGGACGAAACATGCCAGGAACTTACTGTTTCAGAAACAGCCAGTTTAAGAGAACAGAATTTAATGTGTGCATTCGAGATAATTGGTGCCCTGACGCGCGTATTCGCGGAAGGGAACATTCTGGCTAAAAGGGAAGGCAGGACCCGTATCAGTCAACCCTCACCGCTTATGCCTACGGCATCCGTTGATGCTGCTATGGATTCTGTTTTCCAATGTCTCTCAGTTTTCAAGGAAACAGCTTCCATACAACGACAGGTTATGATGTGTCTAATCGAAATGGCCTCTCTTTTTCCCGTATGTTGATATTGAGTATTTTTGGTAAATGACTGAGCCGTGGTATTCCCCACTAGCAAACGCTTGAGGCAATTTTTTCAAGCTTAAACCTACATCATTATAAGGTATGTAAATGGTACCTCATGCGTGGTCGTGTTCACGAACTTATGAAGCACATTGACTGTTCTTAATAAACTGTTGTCGCGGGCTCGCGTCATCTCAAATTATTTACGATGTTACCATAATCAAAACGATCTAACAACGAATTCCTATAAACCTTTTCGATGGCTTTTGTATCCAAAAAAAGTGCACAACCAGAAATCTCGGACCATGGCATCTTTTGTTGTTTAGGTGGTACTCTGCCGTAACTTAGTTACTTTAGTTCAATGGGCCGGTGGTGGCTGCGGCCGTGGACAATCGCTGTTCCTCCAACTAGACAACGTACACAACCTATCTCTCCTCGGTCGTCTTGTCTCAGTTGCTGTTCCAGCTCTCGTCCAAGCGTCCAAAAATCGTGCAGACGCTGCTCTTCGTGTACTGACAATTTTCGTTCGCGGATTTCCTGACCTTCCACCAAATTTACCTCGTCGATCGTTGGCCCTCTATACTGGACTTTTGAGAGGGCTGTCCCAGGTCGTGACCCCAACGCCAGTTCCAGTCTCACTAGACCCGGAAACCAGCTCCAGTGGGGGGCGGAGGATTACTAAACTGACAGCTCTCCAGAGCTGGCTGTGGGCGGCGACGGTGATTTTTCTCGCTACCGAATGGCCGTCTAAAGAAACAGGTAATTAGCATCAGATGTTCGGTTTTCCTAAATACTAGTCTACCTTTAGTAGTGGAAACAATGTGCTATTTGGACTATGACATAGTTTACGCCCTGTTTGGCAGCATTCGCATTAGTGTTCGTTTATTCAACCTCTAGGTGACGTACACGCGGAGTAGCTAATGAAAAACTTATTCCTTAAAGTCGGCCTGTCTGTCTAACAAAGGTGGGCAGGTTTGTGCCCCGTTTCGTCAGTGTTGGTTTATCAGCAACCTCGTGCCCATGAGAAAAGGCAGGTTGAGCTCCCATTGCATTTTCTTTTATTGCCCGCAGGCAGTGGCAGTATCATAATTTGATGTGAAGTTGCAACAAGACCATTTTACTGTGGCCTATTAATTATCTTGCTTTACTGCACATTGTTTTGTATCCGATGTTCTATCCTCGTTAAATATGTTTGCATCGCTCCGGTTATGTTGTTCACTGATGGTTGTTTGCAAGTAGCCGTCCTCCCATCTGTTTACATTAGTTTTTTTGAATTTGCACATCCATCTTTACCTGTTACCTAAATTTCGTCACTTTTTGACCCGACTACAAGTTATTGTTATCGAGTAATAAATTTTCTCAAATGACCTCACATGTAGTTAACTCAACATTTAAAATTATAACCAGGTAGTTGCAGCGACACTTTCTGCAGACTATATATTAGTAGTTTGGTAATGTGTAAATTAATTTTATTTGTCGATCTGTCGGGATAATCAATCGCAAGTTGTTCGATTGCGTTCCCATTGGAGGGAGTTATTATTAGATACATAACAACTTCCTAGTTACCTTGACTGGATTCGAGCGCCTTTATTCTGATAGATTAAGGTATTTCCCAAGTGAGTGAGCTTGTGATTTACATGGAATGTTTTTACATTACTACAGAGCCAGGCATTACTTAAATGGCAGAAGCGTTCCTAAATATATAAAGTTGTGGTTTTTTGTGTGTTGAGGGGTCGTTTATTTATCAATAAATGCGCTTGATGTGGAATGGAGCTACTTTTTTCTGCAACAAAATTTGGATGCTGTGTACGAGCAAAACGTACTTCCAACCTGATTTTGTTTAATGAATTTCATGAGGCTCCTCTGTGTATAACATATATTGCTCAAATTGTTACTCTGCCCGTTAGCTTCAGTAATGCTCACACATTCTGCGCAAACCTGTGCTCAAGCTACCTTCGTTTGCGATCACTTTGCTTTTCTCGTACTATAGAGGACCTTATCCATCCTCTCTTGGTTGACCTTTTCAACCAGTTCGATGTATCAACGCAGATGGCGTCTTGGAGTCAGTGCTTAGAGTTCTTTCTCCACTTACTTACCAGTCCTGACTCAGTCTCCCAAGTGGACACTCCTGTTCGAAGGTCTAAACGTGTTCATTCGGTACGATTGGATTATTGGTAACTTGTTTTTATCTAAATTGTAAATGATGAATCTACCTATCAAGTGAACACACTTTAACATTCCTTTTTGTTAATTGGCCTTCATCAAAAATGAATGTAGAATTTATGAGGCGTTCAATGGATTTTTAATGTCTTACCATTTCTTGCTAGTTCACCAGAGCTGCTTTTCAATCCGCCATTGTGTAGTGGAACACTGCTCTCATTGGTTCTATTTCCTTGCGTTTAAATAAAATTCTTCAAATTTAGGACGCATCAACCCCGACTGCATCTCCTTTTCAACGAAAGATAATGCCGGGTAGCCCAGCCATTGATTACAGTCTGCTTATACAGCACCTCCATTCATCGAACTTCACTAGTGTCGAACCGCCCCCCACATCGATCGGCAGTAGAAAAAGACCCTACGAAAATGGCAGTGAGACAGTTTTCTCTCACTTCTGGCCACTGTTTTCCGAGACAGCTAGCCTTCTTTGCAGCCTTCTTGAAAGCTCCGGGCACAGAAGGCGTCGGCAGGAGGCTCTCGACACTGATGCTGCTTCTCTAGTTCATGAGGCCTTCGGAAATATCGTCAAGCTGGTTGTTCAACTGTTGCTTGCTTGTTCCTCTGCTTTTGAAAAGCACGAAGATGACGCGGTATCCCGACAAAATGCTTCTTCACACCTACAGTCGGTGTTGTTGAAAGTGAGTTAGATTTTATTTCTCAATCTTTCACAACCTTCTGTTTGAATATGGAATGCTGCTCAATAAAAATACTAAATGAGCCATTTTAATATCGACATTAGTTCTGCTTAAAAAAGATTGCGAAGTAGAGCAATCTTTTTAAAGCCTTTATCTCTACTTTCAACCTCTAATGACGCGACATTTATTTAGTCGGAATACACCATCTCCTATTTCACTCTATCTTTTTTGATTCCATGCTTTCCATTATTTGATTTCGTTTGTTTTTGTTTCAGATGAATACCATAATGCCCAACCACATCTTCTTGGAGTCCGTGGCCCATCTTATGTCCCGCCAGGAAGTCGGTTTGACTCGGAAGGCCCTTGAGCTACTTCTTGCCAAACTGGACAGTCTTACTGTCAATTGTACTCCAACAACCATCCTTCTCACTAGTGGGCATCAAGCCCTTAAACCTCTTCCGCGTATGGAGGAAGCTCTTGAACAGGGACTCACAGACCTGCTTTCGCAGCTGTCGTGTAGCCTTACTAACTCTCCACTCCTGTTCAGTGGTGATAGGTCTCAAGCAAAACTCATCCATCTACAGCTGTCATGTCTACGAAAACTTGCACAGTTGCTATGTGCTTTACATCCAGACGAAATGCTACATGTTAGTTTAGCATATTTCTCCTCGCTGGTACCTGTTCCATAATTACCGTCAACGTCTTTCACTCAAAGGAAAGATGACGAGTTTTTGCTACGATGTCAATTCATTACATTTGAATTTGTTGTTGGTCTTTAAGCATTTATCTTTTTTTTTTAAATCCTCTTAGCTTCTGGACGACTTTGTATCGAGTGGTTCGTCTCGCTGGTGGCCATCAACCTCTTCAGCTGCTGCCAGCGGTAAGGCGACCCGACTGGCAAACAGCGCGGCAGAGGCTCGCTCCTTGGCTTGTCTTTTTGCCTTCGAGTGCTTGGCTCGACTGCCACCGTCACGCATCGCGATTCATACTGGTGTGCCTGCAGCTTCCCGTGTTAGGGCGCAGCGAGTGCTTCGATTTGCGCTTGACCACTGCGCCACTGCCTGCCATCTCGCAGATCGACCAATTGGAGCCAGTGAGGATATAATTGTTGGGGAGGTCCATTCGCGAGAACAGCATCTGCAGGTAATGTCATATTCAAAATACATCGATTGTGGTATTCCGAGTAAAGGGCAAATTATTGTGCCCTTATCAGCAATGCACTGAACCCAATGTGACGTTTCGCAATTCAGCATTTTTACAAACTTGATTGTGCAAGGTCAGGACTAGGTGGTGAGTGTAACAGCACTTCCTAATCTACCCTCAGTATATTTCCATGAGGTACCCATTGATTGCTTCCTTTAGCCTCGTTATTTGCTAAATTACCGGTTTCGTTCTTTGAAAGCGGTGTAAAATAACAGACATCCATGTAGTACCACGGAACTTACAGGATGTTTTTGACGCTATCCAGCTGTCGTCGGGGTTTGTCTTGTTTCAGCCGCCTTGGGCCATAGCCGTTTTTAATTAATACTGGTGTGACAATCCATTTTTCATCACTTGTAGTGACATTTTTCAAAAAATAGCTTTGATTACGTTTGCGACGCGTGACTTTTGATTTGTGATTGTCCCTAATATCGAGCCTCCAGACCAACCAAAGACGCTGTAAGTTATTTACACGTGTTGTGTTTAGTGTGCTTATTCCCAGTGTAACCTCTAGCATGGTTATATGACAATCCAACTCGGTTGTACCAACTATGCCAACCAGAACGATTGTCATAGTTGGTTAAAGATAATATATGATTGAATACTTTTGCCAATTCTGACGTGTTTCCGTTGACCATCCAATCCTGAGGACTTCACATTTCTCTGTGACTATGGTTTTATAGATTTTCCGAGAATGAAAGGCTGCATAAAATTGAAACATCAAAGGTTAAAAAGAAGTGATCTAAATTTATACGCGTCCTTCAAATCAACCTATTATTAGTCCCGGAATATTGTCGCGTTGAGAGCTGTCTATGAATGACGAAGACATTGGAACTGAACTAACATTCGAGGTGATTGTTTCTTCGAACGACTAACCACCGCCGAGATGTCCTGTCACCGACTTTTGAACAATTAATGTGTGGCTTACCTACTAACAAACGTTTAGTAAGAGTTGAATGCTTGAAAAAATTGTGCTGTCTTAAATTACCTCATCGAAGTCAGTGATCAAATAGAAATCACGACCTTGAGCGAGTGCCGGACTATGCCATTTTGGTATGTGAAGTTTACTTTGAAACGTATGGTATGGCATGTGGCTTAAATTAATCGTGGCTAGATTTCAACGATTGGTCATTTTTGGGATGTCGCGTTCGGAGCGTTTTTATCATTGTCCTATTTATCTCATCAAGACACCTGGGTTTTTGACAATTTGATTCCCGCTTAGATTGCCAAGAGGTCAGCTTTATGAAGTATTGATGTTAATCAGCTGTCACAAAATACAGTTCTCCTGTTTTTTCTGTCCAGTCAGAGGGCTTATGTCAACCCGAAGTTTTGTCCGTGACATTTTAAAAGTGCCCATCACCATTAAAGATTCCTCCAGTGCTTTATCCGTCCTCAGCGCTTTGGCGCACACTGCCTCCCTAGTTTCGGTTACATGTGGCTGGGGACATATTTTGCTTTACGTCGTGTTCGCTTTCAGTGAGCATTAATCGCCAACGTGTTCTGTGTTGATGCTGCTGTTTTTGGTTTGTACGACACGCTTTGAATTTCAGGCCGGGCTTACGCTCCTGCTTGGTTCTTTCGAATTCTGCACGAGAAGAGCTGAAGGTAAAAATATGCACACGGAGTCTCTACTACTGCGGTTAAAGGAAGAGGAATTTCCGTCGAAGCTACCAACCAACACATCATTTATTTCCAATTCAACACTGGACGTCTCACTGCTCGCTTTCCTCTTCCGGTCCTCACATCTCGACCTTGCTGCGGCCACTCACGCTAAGGTCGATCGATCGGCCTCCGTATTAAAGCAGAATGCTCACTTTATCCGGCGACTTCGAAGCAAATTCATCTCCCTCCCCGATTCGCTAAACCTCCTGACCTTGTCGTACGACATCTTGAGAAATGCATCACCACAATTTGATTCGGTAAGATCCTGCTCTTGGTTCTGTCATGTAGCGTCTTATGACACTTTATGTCGCAACATTTTGCTTACACGTATCGACGCGGGAAAATTTGGATTTTTAAGTGTGATCATTTAATTTTTATGTTATACTTAGTCTTTTTATTTGCATGTAGTTAATATATAAGCCTCCTGTCGTAAAAGTGTTGAACATCCTGTACTTGCATTTGGGTTTCGTTCCTTCGTGTACAGTGTCAACACTTGTTACGCGATTTATGGTATTTTACTCCACGTAGGCGCCGTATGCTTAATTGTTTTACTGAAAAATGCTTACCTTTTGAATCATCTTGGCATTTAAATGTGTCAGCGCATGGACGTTTAAGTTTGCACCATGCATCAAAAATTGCACCTTGAACTTTGCTCCTCTTGTTATTTTTTTGCAACTGATTCGATGCTCGTATTTGTTCCCATGTTCGTAACCCAATATAATCAAAGTTGTTAAATGCCTCATTTGTTTATGTCCATTGACAGCCTTTTATTCTGTGTCTTTTTGGATTGAAATTATCCTATACGTGATCTGTCTTTTGTATTTTTTTTCTGTGCTCTTTAAAATTATAGATTCAGTAATGCCCTTTTTGGCTCTTTTTATCATCACTGTCAAGCCAATTGGGATGCGTGCCTTGAACAAACGGATTCCTAATATCTGTTCAAGCGCTTTTGCCTATTTTCTCCATTCAAAAACTTCAGTTGTCATAAACATTCTTTCCTTGCCCACTGAGAAATGTCCAACCTATTGAAGGCGATGTTTTTTTTCTATTCTAAAGTGTCTAATTTCTGGTGGTCTGGAATTTATCTCTCTCCATGCGGACAGTAGCCGATCAGTGGCAGCAGTCAGCGATGTGGATATCGATTCCGCCAGTCCTGGTGAAGGTCTTCCCAACTCAGTTGAGACCGCCTACGCTTCCAATCCTCTCCTTATTTGGCGCATACTCAGAATGACCCTCGAGTTGCGATCAGCTTCTTCCCCCACACAAGCGGACCTAAACGACCTCTCTAGGTTCGCCTGCCTTGCAGCATCTTCGTTACTAGCCGTGATGAGTCGTGACTACCGACTACAGTTGATTGGTGAATGCCTCCGGTGGACAGTAGAGGGTAAACCTGGGGTCTCTGATGTCGTGACCAGACTTGAAGTTCTATTTATCGTTCTGGAAAAGTAAGCTATTATTTGTTTCATAATTTAGGTGCTAAGGTATTTGATTTTTTTAATTTAAATGGTTGTATGAAGTTGGAGTCCCTTGTGTACACTCACATGCGATTTAAAGGTTTCCTATCAGTCTTCTTGAATGTATGCACGCTTAATTTAAGGAACATAAAAGTGTAAAAGTGTTGTTTTTTCTTTACACAGGTTATCTGCACGCATTCCTGCAGAATGTTTTGTCTCTCTGGTTAAGAACGCGAACCTCATCGGCCTTTTCATTTCATGTCTTTCTCTTCTTGCTGGTGAACGCACATCCCAAAGTAGGTTCGGAAGCCATGCGATTCATTTACAGTAATTCGATTTATTATTCTCTGAGTAAAGCAACTCTCGTTTTAGTTGACATACAATATAGGACATCCCACAGAATATGGTTTTGTCTAAGCTCATTGACGATCGTATTGGGTTTCTCTTACATGAATTTCTTCCAGTACTTGATGCTGTTGTTTTTCTAGACATCCGAAAGCTTGCTGCTTCGCTCGAAATGCCTCATCTTGTTGAGTGCTTCTCTAATGGAACCATTCCAGTCTCTTGCGCCACATCCTGTCTACGAGCAGTTTTATCTGTAACTGCCGCCTGGCTTCGGGCCGAAACCAAACTCTCTGCTTGTCTCGATACTGCGGGCACCGATTCCGTTCTTGCTCTTCCTCTTGCCATTCTTCAGCCCCTCAATGTTCCTTCTCTTGGCATCACCGAGGTTGACCTAGTGCCTTGTGTAGCTGCCTTCCTTGCTGCTGTTGGTGGTGACGAAGCTCTTCTTCGACCATTTGGGTCCACGCTTTGCGGTTTTGTGACACGGGGCAGTCATTGGCGTTGCCGACTCGCTGCCTTGCGTCTCCTTAAGCAGACTTTTGATACTTTGATGGAGATTGACGGGAAGGAGGGTGTCGTGGGAGGTGGAGATCTCGGCCTCGCTGCCTGTCTCGTCTCAGACACCCTTGTGGCTTTATCTGAAGCCCTGGAGGATGAGCGACCAGAAATTGAGGCAGCTGCTAATCGGCTTTTTGCAGATCTAGAGGCGGCGGGTGTTACAGCACAATAATGACGGACATGTTACTGGTGTTTCGTGTGAATAGAGTGCCTTGTATATAAGTATTTGCTAAAGAGAAATACTTTATTTAACTTCTACCGTTCTTTAAGGTGTTTCGTCGGTTGTCAAACTTTAGTGTTAACACGTTAACGGGGACTACAGTAATATGCTTCTGTAGCTTTTGTATCAGGATGTGTGGCACTGTCACACTTCGCACTTCCACCTTTACAAAGTGGGTAAATATATCCATTTGTATCTTGGACGGAGACTCGTACGAAATTTTTTTGTACCAATGCCATTTTCCTACGACCCCAATAAATCGGCTGCACGATATTAGGGATTGAGTATTTCCTGGTTTCTGTCGTCATGCTCATGCTTGGTTAAGACCTAATATCGGGTTGTAGTGGACTGACAGCCACCTCGCGTGAGTGATGCGCGCATGAGGACCCGAGTGTACCAATGACAGCCCTCATTAGCCTGTCAGCATTCGCTTGTTATGCGCGCGCACTCATACGCACACAAAGCCACTTGGCTGGTTTGACACTAATGAACGTTCGTGTTCCCTGTCGCCGCTTTTCCCCCTTTCCTTGGATAGTTACGGTCTGTTACCTAGGCGGTTGTAAGGTAGTGCTAAATCTCTAGACGTCACGAGGTTTTGCGGACCAATTATTAGTCCCCAAATGTTAATAACGCAATCTCCCCTCGTAATGAAGATGTCAACTGTCATTAGTGTAACAAGCTCGGGATAGGTGCCAATCAAAATTTATGTCGATTCGGATTTGCGTACTAAAATATGTTGGTTGTGGTGAGGATTACAGATGCGGGCAGGATGTGTGCTCCAGGTTTGGTTTTGCACGATGTCGTTGGGGTATCAGAAGAAATTGGTAAAGGCTTAGGATCCACACGTATTTTTGCTGGACCAAGACTTTAATTAATGCACATAAGGTAATCCGCAATTACGTCGCAGCCTTGTGTTTTGCAGTAATTTTTCATACACACCTTAAGCCGTTCCCGTATTCGACGTTTCCCCTTTGTGGCCTGATTTCCTAGACGTACTATTTAATCAGCGTCGGTTCTACCAAGCAATACACAGATGAATTAAAATAATGGGTTTCTCAAATATCTTCTCTGCATTGACCTTGCCGGCAAGTGAACAAACTTTTCTGGACGCCAAACTGTACCTTCGACATACAGTTGTCTTCTTCATAGCTTTACAGTCTCGACGATCGATCGATGCCTCATACTAGAGGCATCTCTCAATAATACAGAGGCAACTTATTTATTTGTGCAGAACTTCAACGGTTTTCTAGCTACAATCATGGCTTTGCCGCTCCGCCAGATGGAAGGTGATGAAACGAAATGTCCTTTCTACCATCTGAAGCCATGCTTCCAAGGTCTCAGCTTGTTCGACTTTTGCTTTGGCACCTATAGATCAGAATACCTGCTTCGATTGGAGACACACACACGAACTCTTCCTGGCTGACTTGCGCTTGATGCCCCGTTTGAGCATTTACAGTGCTAGAGGGGCGAGATGAATAGATAAAGGCTGTAACCGTCCAATTAGCGATTTGTGTTTACGGTCACCTCAGGTACTCTGGCTCTGCCGATCACGCCCCGCGAACACTGATTTACACTTTTTCGACCGTCAACAGGCTGTCTGTACACCCAAACCACCAATAACCCAACACCTACCCATAGAGGACAACTTTGTCACGGACAATTTAATGTTATAGAAGTGTATATATCAAATTTAAATTGATCAGTTTCGATTTTATGGCACCAAACTATGTCTTGGGCTTATTAGCGTTTTCTGCCACCTAACGCACTACTTGAAATGCATCCCATCCCTTGCACCAAGGCTAATTTGGATTAAAACATGTTTCTCATAACTCGTGAGTCCATTAATTGACCTTTGGACCTTCCTTTATATATAAAGTTGTAGTTGAACTGATTGCGACCATTTTATCCTAATGACCTCGATTTCAATCTGGTTTCTTACCATTAGCTTTGTTTTCGCGGCATCAATTCCGATAGATACCGTCGAGTCCGATGAGCAGAATGCTAAGGGAACCCTTTATTCTACTCCGTTCGAAACTAAAGTTATTAACCGAACGTCAAATTGTCAATGGTATGTGATAAAGAGACGGTTTGTCGAACGAAATGGATCCAATGCTCTGTCAAGCACGCATGCTCCGATCCTGCCCACAGGAGAGGCAGCCAGCTACTCACCGATTACCTCTGATAGTAACTTGAAGGAAAAGGTAAGCAGTTTAACGTCTGTGACGGAGACTCCGCCAACAGTCAACCCTCTGAAAGTGCACTATGATGATTACAACTATCCAAGTTTGACCATGAGACAAAATTGAGAACCTAACAGTTGTAATAATTTAACTAACGTCCATATTTTGCTTGGAATGAAGTTTGTAGCAAAATGGATACGCATAATGTAATAAATGCACTAACCACCAGAAAACACTGTTTCGTTTCCAATAGAAGGGCCTGCATTAAAATTAAGTTATGTAGGACTTTTTGCTAGACAAAATAAACTTAAGAGGGAAGGCTGTAATTACCTTACAAGTAATACAGCAATGAAATACGTGTTACCATGAATTATTTTTCGCATTTACCATGAAGACAATCTAACATGGGTCTAGAGAGTAAGTTAATTCAGAGGTCCCAGCTCGAAGTCTAAAAGAAACGGCGTTGAAGCTCCCTGACTCACCTAGTCAATCCCTCTTATCAATACTACGGACGGACTTTGGTGAACGGTGATTAAAGAAATCACAATATCAAGGCCTATTTTGACGTACCGGGTTTAGCTGCAAATATGTCGACAATCCAGTTCAAGATCATCTTAAATGTATTTCGTGAGCAATAATGAACTCCACATCGAAGGAGTGATGAATAGGATCAATCTGTTAGGAGATTGCATGGACAATACACTTTAGCCTTCTCCTTACAGAATACGTTCATAAAATTTTCTAATCAATTTTATAATCGAAAATTCAATTCCGGGCTAGATCCGACCAAATACACTGCTACAAATCCATATACCGTTCTATTTTTTATCGTTAAAGGAGCTCAGTTTACTGAAAAGCACAAGGGTCACCCTGATTAATTTGAACCAAAGTGAAAAAGGGAGTAGTGGAGTAAACACTGGACTCCCATCAAACAAGTTTACATGACAATGTGCATTTTTTGTCAAATGGCACAAATAGACATTAATAAATCCTTTCCTACATCACTGAAAGAAGTGAAGACCAAGAGTTGAGTAAGACAGAATAACTTAAACACGAGAGTCAAGCGCAACTAGACTAAGCGTGGCTTGGCAATGCGTTTTTTTCTTCTTGACCAAACCATCAACGCTTTGTCCCATATGTGAATATCAACTATGGTGATAAAAAAAGACACGATTTTACCAGTAAGGGTAGAGAAAATTGATAGTCATCAAGTAAAAAAAGGAGTGATATGGCAAATCACTAAAGGTATTCTATAGCTCAGTGTAATTGTGAAGGCTGGCCAGGGCACTTGAGAGGAGAAGTTGTTCGTAAAGTGGCATATGAATTCCGAAGCCGAGATTGCGAAAGAAGGAATCGCAACCACGAATTCGATGCCAAGCTAATTCGTAGAGGTGCTGGCCATTCATTCGGGCGAATGCATGGGCATAATGCGAAAGAGAATGCTCCGCAAGCCACTGACGAACTCGGTCCTCTTGCCAGAGACGCACGGCCTCAGATGGAATTTGCTCTGCGAGATAGGCTTCCAGAGGAGCGGGAAAGTGGGTGGGGTAGGGATCGTTGAAAGGAGTAAAAGTGAAGAAGCAACAATTATCCTTTGGCTGAGTTCGGGGACTTAACCCCAACGAAGATAAAGATAGTCTTTCAGGAACTAGGCCTTCTTGGGCTAGAAAAGAAACACGTTCCGCAATCTAATTCAGCAAAGAAAAAAAACTAAAATACCAAGGTAAAAATTTCATGCACAAAGAACACAGCCTCATTGGTAAATTTTGTTTTGACAAAAATGAAGCCAACTGATTTGTGCCTAGTGGTGTTCAAAGGAACTAATCATCACAAATATCTTTTACTCAGACTCAATCACTTCCCCCCATTATGAACGATAACTTTCAGAAGAGAGACTGCATTTATCCAAGCAAACGAAGGTTAGGGCTTTAACTTTCAGAGATAAAGAAAAATCTGAAACCAGAGAAAAGGTGCTGCTCAGATGAGGATATACTAATGAAGCAATGTACACCAAAAGGCTGACAATTTTGTCTTGAGCCACATCGGATTTGCCAACATGAAGTCCTCAGACGACTCAGCGAACCCCTGAGACCGGTGCAAAACAACGCGATGCGGCAGACGACTCCAGGCTTTCCACAAAGGGCCGCCGTGAAATAAGACCAACGAATCAACAAGCCCCCAAAATAACGGTTTTTAATGGCACTTCGTAATGAACAAGTGTCAGTTTTGAAGCGCTTGTCATTCGTTGTACCTCGATTTCCTGATTTCTATTGGGAACTGATTTTAATGATCACTATACCACAGGAAGACGGATAGTAAGTTTCTGTGAGTCCGCACGCCTCGCACACAAATACACTACTTACCCAATCAGATAATTCGCATCGTAAGGGTGAATGGTGACCACCTCAGATTGCACACACGAGTGGGTGGAAGATCTTTCGTGTATATTGAGGCCTTTTAACACGATACCGATAAAATCGAGATTTTAATTCCCAATTTCGCCCACTCGAGGCCCATAGGTAATAAAAACGGGACCAAGTCTTCTCAGTGATTCTCAATAAACCCTAATAAGAAGCCTACCACAGAGAGCGTGGCGAGAAATCAGATGATTATATTTAGTATTTACAATTGAGTTAATTTGCAGGACGCAAAGTGTTTTTGAGTTTGGATATGTATATCGGGACTAAAGAGTTCCATTCGGATCTTACACTCGATTTCTAGTGTATTACGGTGACAATATATCCTGCCGCTAAAAACTACGTTTGAAGGCTTAAGAGATACAGAGGGTTAAATAAGTTATAATGAAAACTACAGGATAAGGCAGAGCAATTTTTAAATATAGCCATGCTTGGACGAGAGTGGTTTAACGATGTGGAGTGCGAAGACCATAAAATCAATAAAGGGGACGCTTGACAGAAACAAAAAACTTACGGATAGAAGGACACTTTACGAGGCAGCCCGAACAATTAGATGTGTTGGAGGAACTGAAAGTACTTGGTGTTAAGGGTGTAGAGGCATCTAATTGAAAGGAGAAACAAAAAGTATACAAAAGTTCATGTCATAGAAAACACGAATTTTTAATAAATGGGCTGCGAAAATGCATTATACAGAACTCCTTAGTTGATTAATTATATTTTTCTCGTACGAAGCCCACAGACTAAAATGATTTAAATCATACACCGTCTGGCGGCAGCTTGTCTTACTGAAACAGGGTGGCTCCTCCTGTATTTATCAGCAGTTTTAAAATCCTCTGGCCCCCACAAAGATAATACTCACCTTATCAAAGGTAAAAAAATGATTGATCCATTCATACTTACCAGATGTAGTTTCTAACTGCGCCGGACCAGTGGATGCGATGTCAAGACAGTTTGACTTAGATCGCTGGTGGATTTTAAAGTGACTGACCGATTTTGAGAATGAAATTGTCCGGGGTAAAGAGCTTGTAGATGAATGTGTTTGACCCCCCACGAGATCTCGCATCACACCATAACATTGCAACTGTTCCGTAAGTTTATCTGCTGCATCTTCAACATGTGATTCATCAAAAAGCTGAATTTGTTGTGCACCAGTCAGTACAAATCTGATAAAATTAATGGGAACATAGTCGGGTTCAACTACGACCGGTAGAAGAGGAATGTGGTATTCGTAGGCCGAGATGACCTCCTTAATGCAATGACAAGAGGTGTTGTAGGATGAACTCAGACAGAGAATCATTGCGGCGGAATCGAACACCGCTTCCGCCATATGCTCGAGGAAAGACCCGTGCTCTGTTAGAGGAAACGGAGAGGTATGAATAATTTAGCTCATGCCAAAACGGTTCGTATGTGAACGTGAACGGAAAAACTGGTGGAGATAGGCGACACAATGAATAATTAAAACCAACTAGATTTTAATAAAAACTCATAAATGTACACGAGTACCTAAGGATAAACTAGGGAAAGTGGCGGAAAATCAAAAAATTCAAATTAAGGTAAGATAGTCTTACGGCAATGGTCAGTGAAAATCCAAACCCTCCAGCCACGCGAAGAAAGGGCCTCTTTCAGCTTGGTCACCAGTAGCTGTGACATATTGTTATAACTTATCATGACGTGTCCGTGCGGTTTAGGAGAAGCTGTTATTGCAGAAGTATCCAAGTTGCCAGACTCATCTAACCAATTTTGTTGTTGGGAGAGTGTGCAAAGCAAAGCCTGAACTGATTTTCGACATTCTGCCTTCCATTTAATATCATTAAACTGAGCACAAAGTTTGTACAGGTCTGAAGTTTCTTTAAGTTGATCACGAACTTCACAGAGGCAGCTTAGACGCCACAGCAGGTCAATAGCTTCTTTGGCCAAAATATCCTCTGAAAATTTATAACTATCTCGTGAACTAATTACGGGTTTTGAGCCATTCACAAAAGCCCCGTTTTTAACAGTCAAGGAGATCTGAAGGGCATTAGATATCAACTCCAAGGCATTGTTCGCAAGGAGATTTCTTTTATTCGAGTCGGGACCGGCCAGACAGCCGAGGCAGCCAAATATCTCAGCTGCGTGATAACCATACTTCGTCGAATAATAGTAAGGCGGGGATTGTAGAGAATCGCGTAAAGCTGAAAGAATATGTGTCAGAACGCCTTCATCCGTAGTCATTATCGAAACACTCTCATTTTCGTTTACAATAGAAGCTAAGGCAAACAATGCAGCTGTCTTCAGGGATATCAACAGATCGGAAACATATGTGTCAGCTAAAAATGGTCCCAATATTTCAATACCACCACAGACACGGTAGTCATCACGTGCGCAGGGACAATAACGTAGGATATTGTGGAGTATTCCAAGAGAACAATGCACAAGCAGTCTCGCGTTCGTGATTTTAAAAAAAGTGGAGGAAAGCTCCTTCCGAGCTATAAATTTCCATAGTGACTTGTGAGCATCGGCTAGGACAAGGCGATTGCACACATCAGGACTTTTGTCTGTCACATTCCACATAATGGCATTGAGGGTGATAAAGTTGTTGACCACAGAGCCCTCAAAATTAGTCGAGGAACAGTTGTGTAGTTCCAGTGAAATGAAGTCGAGAGCAGCCACGAAATAGTTGACGCAATTATCAGTACCGACTATCTGAACGACATCGGGGTCACTGGAAATAGTCACAGTCATGGCTGTTGAAAGACTTCGTAATGAGTTAAAGTAACGTCTAGTGTTGTCTGACCCAAGATTAAATTTAGGATGCTGCGAAAATATAAGATCAAGGTTAACACGTGTCGGCCCGCCTGGGTCCATTATTATGCACGCACTGTATTAGAAAACGTAACAGCCAAGTAATAAAATCAACAAGTGCCAAAGGAGATCTTAACGCATAATTGAATCTTCGCCGCCGTATTTATGGTGTGATGTAGTGTGGCGTCGAATTAGGGCGCAGACATGTTGGGCCACCTGGCCTCAGCCAATCCCGTGTCTCTCTGGAATCCAATGGCATGCGGGAAAGGAAGGCAGCCAACCAGAGAAGGACCTGGATGAGATGCAGTATATAAGGAGCGGCGTGGCCAGCGTCGGGGACTCGGATGGGAGGCGCCTGGTGCGTGTGTCTGGCTTCTGATTGGTCAATAAAGCCTGTTCTGTTGTACCAGTATTTTTCCTATTAGGGCTCGGGTATTCTACATTTGCGACGTCTGAGGACGCTGACATATTGGTCCACCTGGCCTCTGCCAGTCCTGTGTCTCTATGCGTTCCAATAGCCTGGGAAGAATGTAGGCGCCAACCAGAGACGAACTCGAATGAGGAGCAGTAAATAATGAGCCGTGTGGTCAGCTTGGTGCACTTGGTTGGACGGCGCCTGACATGTGGTTCTGGCTTGTGATTGTTTAATAAAGCCTGTTCCATTGTAGTAGTCGTATTCATAATTGGGCTCGTGTACGTATCTTCAGGTTAGGTATAAGCTCAATGACGAATATTTTAAATGTGACAATCATTTTTTTAACATGAGACTTGTCATATTTGAGCTCATAAGTGTAGCTTTTTGAATTTGTAATTTTGGAATTTGTTAAACTCGTTTTTTATGTAATTTGTGATTTTTCGACAGTGGAGTATAAAATAAGATCACCTAATTTTTTCATTGATGTGACAGCAACAAATGTTCCGTGAAGCGTACATATTGAAAACGAAATGAATTTTTCGTTGATGACAGTTATCTTCCCAAGGATGAATTCGATGCTGTTGTCAGTTGACTGGTTACTTTGAACCAATAAACCAGCTGCCTATGTGTGTTCCAACCACACCATACGGTCCTAATTTTTATCTTTTGCGTATAATGTAAATCAGATACAATCAACACGGTCTCGAAATTCGGAATTTAATCTTATTTTGTTGCATAATACATATTAACAGTGCAATATATAATTTAGCTCGAATTTATTAGGACTCAACAGATATCGATCAAATTAGATCATCAATCCCTCCTGTTTTTTACATCTCAACTGCTTTTAAATAAATAAGATTCGCAAATCTGATCATTTCTACATCATCACAGATTTTAGCATTTCAACCAAGATTTGCCTGTCCTTAGTAATTAAAGCTAAGCAAGAGATTTCACGTGTGCAAAATATTGACGAGTTAATTTTGTATCAGTCTTACAATATACAGCTTCAATAATAAAGTCCTGTAAATAACAATAGTGGCTTAGACCCTTATAAACAGGCACAACGGTTAGGAAAACCATTAAAGAAGATCCGAAACTAATGGAAGTTCACGTGTTGTCCTAAACAAGAAATATTTCGATAATAAACAGCGTCAATGGACATCTACTTGTTATTGCTACTTCCATGGTTTTAACTAACGTTCATAATTACACAAAAATTTGCCAGTAATTTACAAATATCTGAAACCAATATATTAGAACATATTAGAATCGTTTGATAATATTACACTCAAATTGTCATCTCTGCCTGCACTATTTCTCACACTTAACTAATGCCGCCCCTCCAACTTGTAGATTTCGGGCTCATAGGTGGACAAAATAAATGTTTTTTTTTATCACAGACAGAAGATTAGCATATTCAAGTTCAGTTCCAGAGTGAAAAATAGGGTCTTAATATAACCTTCTTCAGGCTGGCCTATTCGCCGGTTGGTCCGTTTTCGACCCTCCAATGAAGGCAGAAAGCCCGTGAGCTGATTTGATCCCACTTCCTGAGGCGCTATTCAATACCCCCGTGGCCAAACGACACCCCTTAAATTTCGGGCCCATGGTAAGAACAAGAGAGAATGACAGGGAGAATGGCTTTAATATAGACCGGATACACTTGCAGTCTGGGTTAATATCATAGGTGAAAATACGTCCTTTACGTAGATACGTTCCGGCCGTCCTGTTCTTTCGTTGGTCCGTTCAAAAGCCTTACAATGGAGACACAACTTGTACGGTCAGCGAGCTATTGTATCCCCACGTGGCGCCATGAAACCAGAAGTCATAACTTCGGTCACTTGTTCGCCTTTGACTAATGGTTGAGCTTTATGGTGGCGAATATCTACCCTACTGCAACAATATATAATTGAGCATGTCTGAACGCCAACTGGGCCCCTGATTGGGGCAGTTCGGCGTCTACGCGCAAGATCTTGTCTATGTGGAGTGGGCCCTAAATCATCTGTGTTCGTCTTTGCACTTTAGAGCTTAGGGTTTAAGGTTACCCAAATTTACCTAACTATTCAATGTTCTCATTACTGTATTCCATAAACTAGACATTTCGAATTTTGCGAATTGCAAGCGTCTATTTTTTTCTGAGTTCACTTTTCAAAAATTTGGTTTAAATAAATCAAATTGTGGGAATAAATTTACGATTCTATGACTGTTGTAATCATCACGACCCATATAAGAGCACATGACTGCGTGGGAAATAATATATGCTTTATTTTTTCACATTTTGGTCACTTGCCTTCCTTTCTGCATACACGTTTATCCTTAAAGGTAAATAATTTTTCTAAAATTAATGTTAATGCCTCAAAATCCCTTTAAAAATGGAACAATTTTCCGTGGATTTTTAGTTAAATGTACATCTGCAAATCTATTTTTAATTATGGGGGTAATTTGACCTCAGTGAAGGACAAGCGATGTGTTCAGAAGTGTGTGGGGACAACAAGCCAGCACAGTTAGCATTCTTGAGCGAACACAGTTCGCTAGCGTGAGCAAACGCAAATCAATCGATTTTTACCGTGAAGATACTGCAGTGGACAGACGGCCACCGCGCGTGAGTGCTGCGTGTATGCTTGCCCGACTATATCAATGACTCACCCTCCTTGTTATTGGCACTTCTTAGCAGTCGCCTGTTACGCACGCGTATCGATACGCACACAGAAATTAGTTTCACGATTTTACTCGACATGACTTGACTGGTGTGACGCGAATGAACGGTCGTGTTCCCCTTCGATTCTGCCCTCTCTTTTCTCGGGTTTGTGACCGGCTATTATCTAAAGGGTTTTGTGGTAGCGCTAATTTAGGCCCCTACAAGTGCCTCTGTTGAATTCAGTGAACTAAGGTTCTTGCAATTATTAATTTCAAACTGTACATGTGCTTTGACTTGTTTATTTTTCTCTTATGTGCTATCTTCGATCGGCCGGCAAACTTGCCACTTTGATTTTGAGATGCCATAGACTCAGTTTTAGATGCGTTTAACTCAGTATTCTACAGCTACCATGCTGTTTCAATCACTACATACAGACATTGAGCGGCTTCGCGCCGCACAACCATCAGTAACAGGAAACTGACGTCAAAACCAATGAGTAACCGACTTCCGGCGGTGGAGTTTGTTGAAATCGATACTCGGGCTAATACTAACGTAACATTAATTTCGACTCGCCGGCCTTCATTGAGATCATCTACAGCGGCTCGAGTACGTATAAATCAGCATTAGAACCAGAACGAGACTACAGACGAGTCACAGCCTACCCGGAAATAGGATAAACGACCTCGCCTCAGTGGCATTTACTGTCTCAGCCAAAGGTCCAGTAACGCCGTCATGTGTGTCACGGTCTGCATGTAGATGCGCATTTAGAGCACATTTGATGCGGGTCTAGCGACCCAGTAAACGGCCGAAGCCCTATCACCTTCGGCCTCCTTATTCTTCTCTGGGTACTAGGTGTCCAACTTTAATCTTAGGTCATGCACGCACCACATTTCACACTTGCGGCGGGAGGTTACGCAGCCTAACGAGCCCTTGGTGCCGGGTACACCTCAATTGATAGATCAACGGTCGACAAAGGCATGTACAATTCTGTGGAAACTCAGTCCACATTGGTACAATTGGAGTCAAGTGCATGACGCGTTTCATTAACATCGCGATATTGACAAAAAATTCGACTGACAAATCCCACTTCCGGTAGCAAAATAAATTAAAATAATCGATAAAAATAAAAAGAGGAATATTGGGAAGTTCCTCCATAAAATCTTGAAAGTGAATGGTGTCATTGTAATTAACATATTCCAAAGTAAAAACGAGAGCAATACATTGGCCGATAATACAATTCCACAAAAATGCAAACGGATCGGGGATAAAAAAGGACATGCGGTGAAATACTAGCGGGCAGGTCGCTTTTTTGTAGTACTTCTTGTTGTTGAAGGGATCGAGGACGACTGCCACTTGCCAGTCTCCAGGGATGAGTTGACAGCTTCCTTGAGTTTCTCTAAATTTTCTTCAAACCACACTTGATGCTTTTTGATTTCTTCCTCAAAAATTCTCGAAAAACTCGCTCGAAAGCGCGCACATTCTGCCTCGATCGCGACCTTCCGTGAAACCTTCTCATAGCCCCCACCATGGGCCTCAAATAGCTGCACAAAAGCACAATCTGGACAGTGAGAGATGTGTTCCTGCATTGGATCTTCCTAAAATCAGAAAAAAGGTATACCTCATGTAAATTTTATCAAAACAACAGAGGGTAAATAGTCATTAATCAAACGTGAAAAAGTAGACTTCTGTGTGCCGAAATGGTTACCAAGACCTCATGGGTGATCTATAACGTTGATCTGTCGTTTGGCACAGATTATATTTCTCAGAAAACATACCCGCCAGATAAATTCCACAAATATTGACACGAGCAAAGGGGCTTATTGACTTTATTTTGGACGGAAGTTTGTCGTTCCACATTAGGTAAACAACTTTCATTTCATATGTGAGTCACGACAAGATCTCCATTCTGTAGCCCACGCCTCATTCAAAATTGTCATTTTAAACCGCAAATGATAAGTGCAATTGCCTTACACTGCCTTCTAAGGAAGATTGTGCTCCCACTCGATTTGCGAGATTTTAAAACCAAAATTGAGGCATCTACTACAGCAAATTACATCCTGTTGGTTATAACTAGAACTGTTGAGTAGCTTACATTGTGACGATGGTGGAACATGCGTTACGATTAAATAGATAGCACGAATTAAAAAAAAAGCCAGTTATACGCGATTACAATGACAATAAAGTGTCTACCGTAAATTACGAGCAATGAACCGAGGCGGTATAAAAAATGGCAGAAGTAACTTAAACTATATTGGCACACTTTTCAGTCAAACTAGTAACACTTCAGAGATGATATTCACAGTAACATCAACTTGCGCATAAATGGCGACTTATGCCCGAACTCACATCGGGATTCCATCCACCAAGAATTTTTTGACAGAGAAAACACTGAACTGAATCTTCCGATACGTCTGGTCGATGGTAGAAACCCGCTTCAGCCAACGCCTGAGGTATACACTTGTCTTTAGCACCCATGTAAGGCCAGTTTTTAAAAGTCGCCAAACGGCCGGAAAGTAGGGTTATGGGGTCATCGGTTGCAAACTCCGACATCTAGAGAGATTAAAAAACACTGGAATTTAAAGATTTGCTCCTACTGAAAAACTATCATTTCGAAAAAGACCACTTTCGTGACGTAAGCTATGACAGTTTGCAGTCATGCATACCAACATTTCCCCAAATCACCTTACGGTAGTCATCAACACGGCAAGATTCGTCGACTCGGAATTACTCGATGCACATTTTGGGGCGAAAATGAAACCAAGAGGCGAACTCTTACGAAAATTGACTTTTATACCAAAATACAAACTGAATTAAAACGTCCATCAATTTTCGTTTTTATTAATTAAAAATAACATTTCCCCGATATCTAGATGCCTACTGCCTGTGACAAAGCGGATGATGACTAGAACCGACGCTACGATCGCAAACTTACTACCCATGGACCAAGTCCAAACCACTTTTAAGACAGCTGGGTTTGTAGATAGGACTGTTGCAAATAAACCTGCAAAAATGTTAAGAAATACTCCTTACTTTGTACACTCAATGCTTCAGATTGGAAAATCTTACGGTAGATAGTCCTAACACCTCAAATCAGCGAATCAAATTTTGAAAGCCTAAATTGAAACTGACTTTTAAATTTACACAACCCAAAAAGCCAGGAAAATACCACCCAATGTCCGATAGCCGAGAGGGCGTACCTACAGAAGTACCGCCAACGAAAGCTGGTCCACAAGATCCAAAACCTGATAATCAAACTCTGGGACAGCTCAAGACAAAATATACCCAAACATAATCAACAGTTTTACTGATTGGGGGCAACAAATTGCTATATTTGGTCGTAGCTGAGAAATATACTGAAGGGTTTATATAAAAAAGACGGTTGAGGACGAATTTTACCACATTAATCCATCAAAATTAGAGGAAGTAAATATCATAATTAAAATGACTACCTTACTTATGTAGTATGATGAGTCTAAAAAATGTTAGAAAGGAAATGGCGACTCACATTACTACACAGAATAAATACATTATGAAAAAGTAAACCGCAAAGGAAACGGAGCCAATTTAGAATAACCTAGTTACAAAAATTCTAAAAATTGACTCGAGGCGGTGTGGCACAGTAAAACAAACTTAATTTGCTATTAAAAATCTAAAAATATTAATATTCTGGGATTTTTTACTGCGTTTATTTGTTTAATATAAGGGTACAGAAGTCAGCATGGAATATTTATCGCAAGAAGAATGAAACATTTGAGAAATCGTGCTGGATTGGAGTTTCAGTGAGGTATTGTGTTGCGGAATGGCAAAGAAACGAAAGTTTGGCACTCGGTCATAGGTCAAAGGTAAGCAGCATGGCGTGGTGACGACGTCAAGTGACCAAAGGCGCGACTTTTGGCTTCGTGGCATCAAGCGGGCATTGAATGACGCGGCGGGGACTGTGAGCTAACCCGCTCGAGAGATTTGTGTTTCCACAGCGTCGCCGAGGTACGGCAAACGCGAGAACAGGAAAAAGAAAACAAGGCTACATAAAGACCCTGTTTTCCCCTTTACGCTTGACCAGCTTTTGACTAAATTGTGGCTTGTTTCAGTCTTTAGTGGAGGACTCCATTTTGTCTAACCCTCTTCTTGATTATACTACGGGGTCGAAGCGCAAAGTGGTGACATCTGAAGGCCCAGACATATTGGTCCACGCTGGCGTCAGCCAATCCTCTGTATCTTTGCTTTCCAATAGCATGCGGGGAAGATATGCAGCCAGACAGAGAAAGACCCGAATGAGGAGCAGTATATAGTGTGCGGCGTGGCCAGTGTGGTGGACGCGGATGGTGGGCGCCTGACATGTGGTTCTGTCTTATGATGGCTTGATAAATCCTGTTCCGTTGTACCAGTCTTCTTCCTATTAAAGTATGGGTATTCTACAGTAACGTGTGGACAGTGAGCTCTTATGTTGGTGTTAAGCCGTTGGTCGAGAACCAGTAGTGAAGTGTCTATTTCTGGTAGCGTGGAACAGTGATTTTGAATGGAGAGCCAAAGTCCGAGTATCAACTACTCTCACGTGTTTGGCTTTCGATTTCTAGAAGTTATGCCCGAGCAAATTGGCGGCCCGATCCATCCGGATGGACTATATAACCAAACCCCTTTTCACAATGAACTTTAACCCTGGCACTGGAGGCCCATATTGGTATCTTGTATCAATCAATCCATATAACCCTCCGTCCGCCTTCTTATTATGTCCACGCACGTTACAGTAGTGACCTACGAAGGCGAATACATTTTGAACCACTCTAAGCTCAGCCGATCCCCTATTTTTTGCGTTTTAATTGCCTCCGATGAGGATCAGCAGCCAACCATATACAATGATGGATGCGAATTCGCATATAATGAATGGCACTGTCAGTTTGGCAGACCAGTGTGACGGCACAAGATATACGGTTTTGGATTTTGATTAATCAACAGCGCCTATTGTGTTGTATCATTCTTCTAAAAGGGCTAGAGATATGCCAAATCCTGCCGAGCTCGTCTAATACCATATCTTATGACTCTGAAATAGTGTACGTTGATGATAAGCAGCCAGCCGGAGTAAAGGACGGGTAGCGATCACTATAATAAGAACGGCCAATATTAAAAATTTGGATCAACCATCCCCGTCGAACTGTTTTTGCTTGACACTTTTGAATAATGCAAACCCTTCTACATCTGTCTTCTTCATGATAGGGCTGTTATTCAAGAGTGGTACAATTGTGCCGCAGAACTAAAGTACAGACATACTGGATCACGCCGATCTAGGTCAGTCCACGGTCCAAATGCGTTTAAATAGTTTACGTCAGAGAACATGAGTCAGCTTTAGTAATTTTAGCAAGTGTTGAAACGCCAGTAGTAGAATCAGATGCGAAATGCCTGACAGTCAGTTTCTGTATTTTTTTCTAATTAAAAAAACATTTTTATGACATATTAACCATTCACGAATTGAAAGTCGCTGCATCAATTCGGAAACTGCTTTATCTAATGGACCAGGAAATAAACATCAAAGCTAAATGCACTGATTTGGAAATCGAATACATTATCTTGGCCCACAATGCGGTTTAAGAGCCACAACGGGGCCTATCGATCTACAAGTCAAGGTCTGACCAGTGTAGAAGTTTACTGATAACGCGTAGTCTGATTTATTGATAATGTAATATTTTAGTTATACTAAGTGATAAGTCATCGACATATATATGATCACTTAATACTGATCTCTGAACAAATATGTCATACATGTAGCTTATTATATGGTAAATTTTCTGAAATCACAAAATTGATATTCTGCACCATAGATTGCTTGGATTCAGGATATTTTGAATATTTGTTAGGGCCTCGAAATACTGGGATTCTAAGTGGTGTGTCATTTGAAACAGTTTTGCGAAATATCATGTTATCCACGATAATTATTCAGTATATTAGCGATTTGCTGCCACCGTCATAAGAAAGTAATTTATTATTATTATTTGAATTCTTGAAAATTTCTAAGCTACTTCACCCACCTTATATCACCTCTTAATTATTTTTACTCGCATTATCATAATCATGATTTTCAGTTTTTGATTACCATCGTATGTCTTTTGAAGTTAACGTGATTTTGTAAAAGTCTTGTTTAATTGTATTGTAATAAAAATTGATCATGTACGTGATTGGCCGAAGCCTTTCGAGTTAGTGTAGAGAAGTACGTAGTTGCGCATCTGCTTTTATTTGTTTTTAGGATGTCCGTGGTGTATGTTGATCCCATTCCGGAAGGCTGGGAAATGCGCTTGGATGATGCAACACAGACATATTATTTCATTGACCATAATAATCAGGTTACCCAATGGCAGCACCCAATTAACAAACTCGTTTATCGACCTTCTAACCGCCGTGAGCTGCCTAATGGTGTTCAATCCACACCCATTACTATAAATAGACAAAACACTTCTGATTCTGAGGTTAAAACCGGCCATTATCAGCCCCAGAAACTTTCTGGTGCAACTAGCTCGGGAACTGACGCCCTTTCTTATGTCAAAAATGAAACTCCTCTGGAGGATATAAGTCGTGTAATCCAACTTTCATAGTTATATTTGTATGGTAGACATCTGAGTTGGATGAACAGTGTGGGAAGAAAAATGAGGACACCTCGATTATATCTAAGGTCCTTGAGAAGGCTGCTCCTGTGATCAAGGAGGTTAACTCCTTTAATGGTAAATTTTTTATTGCGTATATGGTTGTCGTAAATGCTCATGTTTATTATATCACTGGACAAATTTGTTGTCTTATTTCTCATGAACCGTTTTAGCACTGTTATTCTAGGCTTCTCGAAAGTATTCCGCTTTTCATGCTTTTTTCGAAGTTTTGCTATCATCAATTAAGCAAATGAATACTTTCAATAAGCTTCGTTCGTCATCGTTAGTTCTTCTGGCATTATCTACGACATGAGTTATCCGCAAAAAATAATTTAGTTATATCGCTTTTATATATTTTGCTGTTGATTCGATTTCACGTGCACTCAGATTCACTTGTTTTCTGGCTTCACTTCAACTTAAAACATGTGTTTCTCAATTACTGTAAACTTAATTCTATGGTTAGAGCAGAAGTACGTTATTTCTTGATTAGATTTTCGTCTTTCAAACAATAGACCAAAGCATTTAACAGCCTAATTATCTCACTAAACGGACAGCAGAATTGTTCTTACAAACTACGTTTTAGATCTTGTTATGGCAAGTCATTTTTCCCGGTTTCATCCTTTGTAGTACATGCTCTGACTTTAGCTCATTCTTTTTCTTGAAAAATTAACTTACAAAGATTACCTGTGTTTGCAAATCATGAAGTCTTGGGAGCAAACGTGGTGCCTTATGTGCTCTAATAATTACAGAGTCTATATCTCTGAACGATTTATCCCTTATCAAGCTTGGAGTGTTCTATACTAATGTTTCAAAGGTAATTTTGTCGGATTTTAGGCATAATCTAGTTAGTGGCTGACATTTCGGTACTTCCAACTCTTAACAAGCTTCATAAAGCAGTTTTATCGGTATTTTTATTACTGCAACCCCAGTTTGCGTAATGTAGATTTTTCTGGGTATTAATGCGAAGTTCTCCAAAGCTAATTCACTTTATTCGTTCCAGGTATTGCAGGTGATAAGGAATATCTCCGATTAATGGAGACATTGGAGGTATTAATTCTGGAGTTGGATGGTATCGGTGTTGACGGTCAGGATAGCGTTCGAACGGCTCGCCGTGCTGCAGTTCGTGAGATTCAGCAGGCTATTGAGATGTTGGAGTTCCGTGGTTCAATAAATTCTAGTCGTGACCCAACTGGTAGCCAGGAGCCGGCAGTTGTTGAATCTCTCCCTCCATCAGAAGACGGGAGTTAGAGCCAACTTACTCTAACTCAGCTCATTATTTCCCCTCACTGTATTAGAGTCCAGGCTCGTCTTTCACGTCAAGTTTTGCATAATCTCATCTGATGCGTGCCCTTTTGTGTGTGTATGTGTCGCGCGATAGCATGCCATATGTATATATTTCTATTCTGATCTCGTAATGTAACCTTGGGATCTGTTTCGCATCAGACTTTCACCCAATAGTTGTACTTATATGTCAGTGCAAGGCGATTCACGGAATAACAGTGGACCAACAGGTGAAGATTGAGCTGTTGTTATCCGTAGGCTCGTTCATGCCATCTTAATGGAAGGATCTGAGTGGCACAATCCCACCCCAGTAAATTTATTTAGAAACACGGTGTCCAGCACTTTTATTGTTAAATATTGGGGGGGGAGTTTAATTATTGAATGTTGTTTATGGAATTGGGTCTTTCGTAAGATATTTTTGTCAATTGTAGTTAATTTTTGAATTTAGTTGTTAGGAGTACGTTGTTGATATTCGCTGCCCAGGTCACGGGTTATATTAATTTATCATCCACATTAACGAGTTCAGCACGATTTCAGAACAGGTGTGATTTCGTATTAAACTAACGAAACGAGAAGTCGGCCTTAGTAGTTCTTCTCCAGCCGATCCGGCTAGAACTCGAACTGCGTCCCTCGGCTCATTTGTCGACGAGTTCTTCGCATTCAGCTGGGGTATAACGGGGTGCGGTATCGTTAAACTATGCTGAGGGGTGTGTGAGGTGTTTCATTGTAGAGACGGTCCCGTGAAAACTGCCCCAGTGGGTCCTCCGATTCGTTGTCAACTGTGTATTGCAGCATTTTTGAGAGACTTTGTCGCAACACCATCCTTAATGTTTCAATGCTTATCTTTGAAGCAATTCGTCGGATATAAGATTTGATCTGCACTTGGCAGTGACTTACGATAAAGTCAGTCAACTTTGGGACGTCTGAGTTTAATGGTCGGCATAGGTTTGGCGGATTCAGTACGAGGAAGTCACTCGTAATTTTATTTTCATCGTAGTCGTTGTAATCACCTCGCGGATGTCAATTACCAATGGTTTGTCTTGGGATTGGTGTAAGGCGTTGATAACTTGATCGGCGGACTATCTCGAGTAGCGGTGTGCGTTTGTGTTCACACTTTGTAGTGTCGTACCTAGTTGGTAAATGTTAAATTACTCAAGTGGGTGACCGTCTGCCAAGATATTTTACGCTTCCCTGCTATGGTTCAGATTGACTAGGTCAAGTTTTTTCTGCAGCATGCTCGAGCTAGGCTGTTGTTAGTATGGAAAGTTTTGACAAAATGAAGTCAATTCAACTGTGGTTTTGAAGGCTGACGACGAAACCCGAAATGGTAACAATATTTTGATACCGATTATTTGGGGGTCGTTGCTGCGAATGTACATGCCCAACAGAACTGATGCCTCTTTCCAAGGTCGCGGACTAGCGGTTTTCGCCCATAGGCTGAACTGATAGAATCGTTTGATGCCACAGAGATGTTAACCTGATCGGTTTCCAGTTGGCTTCGGGGGACAAGTGATATGTCAGCAATTGAATTGACTAGTAATCGCCTTGCACTTGGTGCCCTGAAAAGGAAAAAAAGCGTTGACCCGTGTGCCCGACGGCAGCATTAGCCACTGTCACCATGAGTCTTCATTTTCCTACAAATCGCGTCAACGTTCATTTGAGAAAGAATACGCGAACCTACACTTCAGGTCCTCACCGCCGGAGATCTAATAATAGCAAATTTGTCCGATGAAAATCAAGTATTGCGATCGTGTATGTCTTTAGCCGAATAAACGTTTGTATGTCCCACGTCGAGAAAGATTGGATGTCAGGGTATCGATAGTTCTACCGTATTTGACAAAAGACGTCTCTCACAGCAAAGATGAGCGTTGACCGCAGGGCCATGGAATCTGTTTGTGATGGCCAGGGTACAAACACATTTACTGGACTAGAATAAATCCTACTGCTTTTGTGGGAAGTGGAGCGGAAATGAAAACATAATTTGTTTTCAAAAATTTGGGAAAACGTATTTCCCCTTTTAATGCTTTCCAGTTGTCCTTCGAGCACATTACCTCGCTTGGTAAATTCTAAATTTTGTGCAGTAAGTTAGGAGGAAGCACACTAAAAATAAGACAATTTAGGCGGGGGAGCTCAATTCAAGAAACTAACAAAAATTATTACTGATATCATGGGAGTAAACTTTTATAATGTGTAACAATCACCACTTATCAATATACCTTTAAAAGTACACTTGAGACTTGCATCTGCAAGGATAATCGCAGGCAAGGAGTATTTCCAAAGTTTTGGCATCGAAAACTACCATAGTTTTTATATTCTCCTTAAGGAAAAATATTGCTTAATTTTATGGGCCTTTATTAATGGTAATGCCTCGGATTCGGACGGTAAGTTAGTTACTATTCCTAGATGGCATATTCCTAAAAAAATGGCTAAATATTTATGTTTGGTTGAAACAGTCCATTGAAATGCTACGAAACAAATCTTATAGCAATGCAAGTCAACGTTTGTTATGCCATATTACCACGTGTATTTTGCTTAAAGAATCAAAAGGTAAAGCGATATAAGGATGAAGAGAGTTGCTTTTGCCTACACTCCCTGACTTCTTTGAGTCAATATAAAATATATCTATTTTACATGAATATTGGATTTCTTCATTTTGTTGAAATTAATTACAACTTCCACTTTTAAATTTTTTTTAAAATAAAGCTGGTGTGAATTTATCGACATTTTTCATTACTTAATTGATATTAACATTTATTTTACCTTACAATAATAAATTTGGAATTCACAGTGTTAACTTGTCTAAATTCTGTTGAAAAGCCAATGAGCAAAAACATGTCAGTAATGTAATCCTATTTATTTCATAACCTTCAGTAATCCCTTTTCAATCTTTTCAAATTCCAATAAGTCAACCCTGGCTCAGAACCAGTGTATAGAATAAGGGTAGCTTTTTATTAATAATGCCTGTGTCTTTATTCACAGACTATCCAGTGCTTACGACCAATTTTCAAAAGGGCCACTTTAGTACTTTACTGTAGTAAATGTTGATAATTCATGTCCATCGTATCCGCCCCATGCTCAGTCACCATGACGGCAATTCAGTCCCCCTCGCAATGATCCGCGTATCTGTTCGCTTCCCCCTCTCTTGGGGCGCAGACCAGTTCTTGCACATCACCCTGTACACCAGTGGCGTTCGGCATACTCGACGCTGTCTGCTAAGGGACACGATATTCGCACTTGTGCTGAGCCGTCTAGCAAACGGATGTCTCCACCGTCTTTGGTCTTCTTGACCATCCCTAGGCACCCGTGTAGCATAATCGATCCACAACAAAACCCGTACCCTAGTTCATAAACTACACTCCATTATCACAATTCTAGAATTAAAAAGATATAAAAGTAAAAACTATTTGACGTTCTCCAAGGGAGGCCAAAGTCAGTAAACCTATGCTCCTGATTAGAAAGCCCTAGTTTAAACTAATATCGACTTTGTTCGATTTGTTACAATATTTCATTTGTTAGGGTCCCTGTTGATGACTAAATGTCGCATGCACCAAGTGGTCGTCGGGCTAAAAAGCCAACTAAACTGAGCTTTTAGCGTGATTTAGACTTGTAAATCAGATTCTTCTGTTTTGTACACAGTTGAAAATTCGTGGTGTGGTTTCGCTGAAGAAACCACTTAGGTTCTATTTTGTAAATGTTGAATCTGAGGAATTAGGCTGAACACATCGCGTAAAACTTTCTCCTCCTCAAGCGAAGATTGAGAATGCTACCGCTTGTCTACATTAAAATTTAAATATCGGTGGCTCATGGCGAGGGCCTTTTTAAACCAATAAATAACCATCTCAAGTTTGCTTAGGCAAGGCTCACTTAGCGGTTCAAGTGAGTTACGCGCACTTCGGCGAATCACGTTGGGGTGCAAATCATGCGATGGCATCGTGGACTGTTGCCAAAAGCCTACGCAGTGTGCGCTCACACATCCACACATTTATTCGCATTCGCCTTCTCAAGAACCACTTGCCAGTCACACACTAGGCTTCCATTTTAACAAGAGAGCACTGTTTTCGCAGTCATTTTAAGCCCGAAGGTTAAATGGCAGAAGAGAAAAATATTAACATTGGTGTTTTTGGTGATAAGGGTGAGTAGTTGCTGTGTACTTTTTACATGAAAACCTATGTATTTCTGTGCTAAGTAAATATGGTCATGAATGATTATTTGCATCAAACTGGAATTTTCACAGTATGGTGTTAATGTATGAACTTAAAATTGCAACTGAATAAATTGAGCCTACAGGAAATTTACTTTTGAATAAATCTCACTGATGCAACAACCCGGGCCGAGTCTCGGTGAAATTACTTGCCTGCAAAATGAAGATGCAGTACCACTTGACCAGCCTCTGTCACATTACTTTTGATAAGAAATCTAGGGTTCGCAACTTTGAAGTCCACCTAAATTATTTTTCGTAACACTTCTAGTAAAAAAAGAGCTGAAATTAATGGAAGCATAAGCTTGAGTATATCCTATACCGAAGTAAATCAGCCCTTAAACAAAGTGATCCCAGGGCCATTTAGAATATATTTCCATGGCTTGGAGCGAAATCCTCGAAAACGAAATTTTTGCAGTCAAAAACCGCGCCAAGTGATATTTAGTTAATTTTAAGAAGGTTTTGTGTGACGATGACATTTATTACGACGACCTCGTTATGTGCCTGGGAAAAACCAGTTATTTAACTCTAGGACAAAAGTATGAATACGGCCGAACTTGTAAAGTTTTGAGGACCCCTTATATTCTACAATCCCTACCAAATTTCTGAAGTATTTTCCAAACATGTAATTTCCTTTTAATATAAAGAATGCGTTCATCGGAGGTCAAAATAAATGTTTAGGCCATGATTTTTTAGATTTGTCTCGATTGTACCATCGCTAGTCGCTTTTTAAAGAGAGAATTGACAGCAAAAGATTTTCACAATTAAACCAATACTTTAACCTGGCAAAAGTTTCTCGCCACTGTTGTTCCTTTTCACATCATTCCGTCGGTTAGAGGAGAACCTTAACTCACAGCGGTTTAGCACGGATGTTTGCCTGGATTATCACTGCCTGTGATGGCATTTACTTAATTCTCGATGTCAGCACATCCATGACCCACGCTGCTCCACGCATTTGAGCTACAAATGCACACCGCAAACGTCACGCACGGTACAACGACAATAACTTAATTAAGCTATGCGGCAAACGGTCGTGTCCACGCCACCATCTTTGCGGGTATAAGGAATACGTAATCGGGTTAGGCTCAACGCAGTGGCCCGGGCCTGGTTTAAGACCACATGTCGGGGCCTACAATAGTGCAATGAATTGTCTGAAATAATTACTTCAGTGTTTTTGTTCAAGCTTTGAAATGTCTGATTTAAAAATTTTACCTGCTGCAACTTCTTGACAAATTGTGAATTTCTAAACAAAATCAATCTACAGTAGCCTGAAACGGGTGTCCCGCATTCATTCTGGATTGGACATATTTCTATATATAAATTAACAACTCTGTCCAAGTATACTTATAGCGTGGAACGTAGCAGAAGGCGGCGTTTGCATTTATCATCGATTGAGATTTGTCATTGCGCCTTCAATTTTTTAAGGAAACGTCACATCTGCAATTTTCGGGTTCATTTGTAGATGTTGGAAAGACTTCCTTGGTGCTCCGATTTACTGATAATAAGTTTGACAAATCTACGCCCACGACATTCCTCAACATGCCAGTAACCACCACCGACGTCTATGGTACGAAGGTCAAATTTTGCATCTATGACGTGGTAAGCACAAGATGCCTTGAGGTTATTTTGTCCGATGGAGAAGGAACTGTAAATCTGAATAATTACCGTTAACCGGCAAAATTATTTTTAAGCTATAGTAACTAACTTTCCTTTATTTTCTGTAACGTCCAGGAATAATTTTTGGGTCTCGTTGGGCAAACACCTACATTTAATGTAAAGCATCATAGCTTAACCAATGATTTTGTAAAAATCAAGTTAACGTCGTTGGATGAAGAAATAACGCATAATTTTATTAAGTTTGTCAAATTCTAATGGCGTCATTAATATAATACTTCAAATTTTTGCATACTTTAATTAGGATAAAACCAGCACCAATTAGGTTAAAATTAGAAATATCAAATCTTCCTGAATTTATCCCACTGAGTTTTTATTCGCTTCTGTAGATGTTGAATCAAAATGCATCGGCAATTTTAGGGCTTTCGCTCAAAGCATGTAAATTTCCCACTTTCAAATCAAGCAGGTATTTGCTAATTTTAAGATAAAGCTTTGGTGCAACAAGGTCATTATGATGGCATCAGTTATTGTAGAACTGCATCTCATAAGGAAGGTTTTCTTCTCCAAGAGGAATATGATGGTATCTGTGAATCTTCTCCCCTTAAAAGTTTCAATTATTTTACAAAGCCAAAAAGTGGCTGTGCTATGCGTGGACGAAACGTGACAACAGCAAGTAGCTCAATCACTCAAAAGTCCGGCCATCTGCAGGCAGGATTTTGAGACTTAGTCGCACCTGCTACCTAGAAATTAGTCATTTCTCTTATACGAGTATTAATGTGCCACTTTCATCCAGGTTTATCAAGTCTTAGCGTGTCTTTCACACACACGCACACATTTTATTTTGAAACTGCCATAGTGCATACATGATTGCATCTGAGGAGTGTTTTTAAGCAGAGAGAATCGGTTACTGATGTCAAAAGTAAAGTTAAGGAGGCTATTGCTGAGTTGACTTTAACTCAGTCCTACAAAGTCCTCTTCTGTGTAGAAAATTTACGCAGACTTAGAACATGTTATTCGGCCAGCCTGAGATGAATGCAAAACAGCCATTGAGAATGAAACCTTTACTTTTAGCCGGGCGCAATTGAATATAGGTCCCTAGCCCAAGGAGTTTACGCCGGCATCGAGGCTGCGATACTTTGTTTTGACATTTCCAAGTAAGTGTTTAGTAAATATGCATAAGTAAATGCCACTTCTTTTATTCGAAAATAAATTTGATTCGGTGTAACTCTTACTGAATTAAGTGCAAGTCCCTTTTGAATTGTTTAAAATCACTTCACTTAATTCTGATGATAAAACTCGCTTCTTTGGCTTACCTGTGATTATACTTTGATGTCATTTGGAAAGAAACCTATTGCCTTAAAGAAAGGAACCTATTTAGTCTCAATGGCAATCCTTTTTTTCTAAGTAAATAGATATTAAAAAGGCTTGAAAGTGAAACCACAACTCCTAATGAGGTCTTTTAGGTTTACGTACATTCTGGGAACGCTTAAACCTTGATTTTACTTGTATGTTTTAAATAGCACATAAATACATATATCCGGCAAATAAAAGTATGCGCTTTAATCTACTCTAATGTGATGCGCTACGACGGGGTTTATTAGTAGTATTATTAGTTCACGGTAGTCGTTTGCGTTACTGTTCCTTCATTCTTTTCTTCTGACTGTAGGAAGTAATGCATGTATTCTCAACGGTTCTTACGATGTTCTCCGTCTAGTAAAATGGTTAGGAAGCAAATATACAAGCATACCCCAAAGAGACTGAACAGTGGTATTAATGAAATTGGCTTTAAAAACCCAAAGTCTGTTCAAGAAGTCCACATGGGTTATTTAAAAAGACAATTGAGAAATCTAAGTTTGGTTCTTTCCCAAATAATTGACATTAACCTTTTTTGTCATAAACCATAAATTTCTCACAAACACCCTATTTTCTATATCTTGAACCCCGATTGTTGATGTAACCTCAATTCTAACAACTTTGGATGATCAAACTAAGGTTGCGTTTTGGGTTAAAAAAAACACTGGATGCTAGGCAGTAATCACATCAAACAAATCCCGCGATCTTATAACTTTCGTCGTCGTTTTCATGACACTCATGAAGATAAAAGGGTTTATTTGCACAACGCTTCTTTGCAGTGCGTTGCACGTAAAATTTAATTATAATTTAGATCTCTGGTAGAATGTGAAGAGAAGGTTATGATTATCAAGAGCAGCCGCTAAGACCTACTTTAAAAAATAAACACATGGCCACACTTGCAAAACTTGTCGACTGTAACGTCGACAAGGCTACTTGACGTGTGGACGCAACCGTGACGATCCGTGTGGAATTTGTTGCTGTCTTAAAGCAAACCAGATAATGCGTGAAATTGTCTGCTTGGAATACATCAACGGTTGTCCACTGTTTTGCATGAAACAACTGGATGTCTTAGATTGATACACACAATACCACAGTGCATGGTTTTTTAATGGATTCAGCTGTTGTCAATGCCATTATTTGTTTCACTCTTCGTGAAGATTTCCGTGATGCCTGTGCCTGCCAATTAAATTTATTAAACACTTAATATTTTAAGTGCCGAAATAAATTAAAATAATTAAGGTACTGTTAGCGTTTTTGTTTTTGCTATTTGTCTCCCGCCAAGACACCACCTAGATACTGGAAAAGGAGGGTAGTGTTGCTGGGTGAGGGTCTACCTCCCGATGGTCCAGTCGTCCTTTTACGTCCACCTTATCCTGTGAAGAAATTGCAGGTGAAAAGACAGCGGCCAGTTTGAGACAGCCCAGTATTCACTGACTATGTAAGATGTGTCATTATGGAAACCGGTATTGAGGTATTTACAGCGCACCCGTGGGCTGAGTGGATTTGTTGTGTGTAAAGACCGGTTAATGCTAAGAATAACAGGCACAGATCACTCTAAGGCACACCTGTGTGATCTAGTGTGTAATGACTAGTGCTTCAGTAATTCGGAATATTCCCTAATTTTAACCTTTGGATATTCTTACATGGACACCAACAACTGAGAAGTCTTGAGATCACTTTCTGCTCAATAAAAGTACTGTTGTAGTGCCACGTAATGGAAAAAAGGACTTACTTGAGTTTGTTGATTGGACACATGAAAATGAATCATCAAGCCTCTACAGTGAATCGCCAGCCCTTTAAATTTGCGTTTGACTTAAAGTCTTGGACGAGGGCCAAAATTTTGGGATGCACTACAGTACTCTGACAAAATTATGAAGGGGAAACTGTTTTGCATCAAGTGGATAGAGAACACCATCAATCTAGTTTTTCCAACCTTTTATGATACCATCAACTTCAAAATTTACGTAGCTAGGAGCACACGACTTAAATTTCTCTGAATATAGATTCCCATAGCTGTTTCAATTATCTTGACTTTCTAGCTTGTTTTTTTTATAATTCAGCAGACCGTTTTTTCACGCGCATTAATTTAGACCTTATTGTGACCACTACTTCAAAAAACGGAATGAGTTTTGGTAGGCAGATCATTTTTCCATAATATTTGTTTTCAAATAAAACAACTTACAAAATAGGTAAATTTGGCAAATTCGCTCGTTTATGCAGTCAAGGTTAACAGCCTAAACTGGTTCCTATTATCAACAGATACATGTCCATAGTTAAACTAAAAGTAAAAAACCAAAGTTTCACATTTTTTTCTGAAACAATTATGTTCAAATTAAGTGTCACATAAGGCACAAATTTATTTACCAACCTTAGAAATTATTTTGACATAAATAATATGCATAATAGTGTACAAAAATTGGGTTGGGGTATTTGTGGACAAATAGAGGTTTTAAGGCATTCTGCTTTTGTCTATTCACACCAGTACACAGATCTTGGAAGAGGCCTGATTTTCTCGGCACACTGCACGGGCAAACTGAGAATGTATTTTTATTTGAAGTAATTCCCTCAAGTTAGACAGTCTTGGTTTTATTATTAATGCATAGCCAAACAATGATACAAGCCCCTTATTACCACATCATCATTTTTTATAGCCAAGCGTCATTTGATGCTCTGTCAAGTTGGATCAGTGAAATCAAAAACGGTCTGCCGGCAAATGGCGTGAAAGTACTTGTGGGTCTGAAGACGGACCTGACGAGACAGGTTCAAGCAGAGGCAGCTCGTAGCTTTGCCACACAGAATGACTTTATGTACATTGAGGCCTCTTCCAAGAATAAACCCAAAGAAGTGGCGGAAGTTTTTAAGCTAACTGCAGCAAAATCGCTTGGCATACCACTTCCACCACCTCCAGTAAGTTAACGCAGATCTGGTAGTTTTGCTTGATTAAATTTATCCTTCTGCATTTTTCTGCAAAAAAATATGAATTATGAATTTTACGCATTAACTATTTTAAGGAACTTATAAAAATATCGCTTCTCATCATACTTGATAACTTGTTGTCACCTGCACTACCTTGCAACCGAGCTATTTAACGTGCCGTAGAAGTCTAGGCTAAAAAAGAGATAGGGATGACAGAAGTAGTTTTTTTCACCCCGAAGGCTGGGTCAATGTGTTAAAATATAAAACTCACAGTTTGTAAGCCAGAACTCACTTATTTGAATTCCTAATCGTCAAAGCATTGATCAACAGAGCGAGGTGTTGCCAACACAAACGAACAAGCCTGGATTTACCACAATGAATTGTAGCTGCACTTCGCTACGGGCTATGTACTTTTAATATTTGATTTTCAACATTTCTCAAAGTTCATTTGCTAGAATTGTAATACAGTGTTCTAATACGTCATTCATATTTCAGCTAAAATTTAATAGATTAATGGATTTTTTGAACTGCAAGAAAAATGCAGGTAACAGGAAAATATTGGGATTTATTAAATGCCATTACCAGCCCATGTATTTTCAAATCCACGAGACAGGACAATAAAAGCAACCTACCACCGTTTGTGAAATTCAACACTCGACATAGGAGATATCTTATGCATTAGGTTACAATAAAGTGTAATTAATGCCAACCAGTTGTTGGTATGCTCACCAGTTTTGAAGCAAATCAGTAGTTATAAAAATACAAGTGCTCTAACATAACAAATAAGAGTTCAAAAAGGCAAAAAATGGTAAAAAAACGTCAATTTATCCACCCGCTACTTCTCGAATGCTGTAGTATGACTGAATCACTTCAATTATCTACTAGTTGTCAATAATTCAGCTAGCTAATGTAATGTATCAAGTGACATTTTGAACTTGATTTAGAAATGGACACATTTGATCAATTCATTTTTGAGCGGTAAATGATTTAGATAACAAGCTTGAACACACATCTTGTTGAGACGGTAATCGTCAGTATAAGCAATTGCTTATCCATTATACGTATAAACTTTTGAAGCGTTTATTTAAAATACATTTGCACATCTTTTTCTACTTGTAGGAACCCAAAGCAACAGGAGCTTCTTGCTGCTGCTTTATGTAAAACTGAGGAAAATCACATTCGTATTTTCGCAGCATTCTAATGTTTAGCAATAGTCAATACATAATTCAATAGTTTTCGAATAAATATGACTGCTCTCTTACCTTCTGTTGAACGTCATTGTAGATCCATAATATAGGTCGTGGTTGTCGAGATCAGAAGTAGCTATCATGCCATTTTATGCAGGAAGCACCACAGAGTTATGGCGAGTGAAAAGGTAATGCATGTTGTCTCCAATGAAATCAATATATCTTCAGGGTCTTGTTTGTATTGATATTAATTATTTTGCTTGATTTTGACCTGCTACCATGTGACCCCTAGAAGGATTGTGATAAAAGTACTGACTCAGAAAATCGCGGATTTCAGCAAAGATGGAGCAAAGTAATGTCAATCTATCGAAAATCCACTAGTTGCGCAATGACCAATGCCTAAAGCATTTAAGTGGAAGTTAATTAGTGAGTCGTAATGCAACTTCTGCTTCTCCAAAATCAACCAGAATGCCACAAAGGTGGATTTGTGTTTGCAAACCTAGTGCTAGGCTTTCTTTCCGTTGATTTTAAATCTACTGACTTTAGTTAAGTGCTAAAACGATACCGTTTCT